CAACCAGGCCCCTGCTGCTCAGGCAGTCAGCGTGACCTTGACCCTAGGCACAGACAGCTTCCTGCGGCTCCTGGCTTGGATGGGATACCCCCACCTCCCACAGGCTCCTGAGAGAGCACATGGCCGTAATCCTCCAGCCTCACACCTGCTACCCCTCGCTTCACAACTTATTCTACCCTGAGAAACCCCACACTTGTCATTCCCTCCCCACCTTCATTTCCCTTCCTGGAATGTCCTCTCTGCCTTCTCTACCTGAATTCCCTGTGTTCCTTCAAGAGGCTCAGGCGGCAGCCCCTGGAGATGAATTCAGTGCATTCTCTGCACACCCAGCCCGCACCGCCTGCCCACATGCCTGCGTGGGAATGGTAAGACCAGATTTCTCCAGCAGCCTTCGGCCTTTGCTTGCTAGGCCTAGTGGCCCCCAGCACAGAGCAGGCGCTCAGGGAAGGCGAATTAATGAGTGCAGCTGAGGTGAGGGCAGCGGCCAGGGCCTGCCTGCAGATGTTCATGCCATTTGGGCTGCTCTCCTTGTTTTAAAATGAGGAAATTGTGGGCCAGGTGTGGTGGCTCACGCCTGTAATCCCAGCACTTTGGGAGGCCAAGGCAGGCGGATCACCTGAGGTCGGGAATTCGAGAACAGCCTGACCAACATGGAGAAACCCTGTCTCTACTAAAAATACAAAATTAGCTGGCGTGGTAACGCGTGTCTGTAATCCCAGCTACTCGGGAAGGCTGAGGCAGGAGAATTGCTTGAACCCCGGAGGCGGAGGTTGCTGTGAGCCGAGATCATGCCATTGTACTCAAGCCTGGGCAACAAGAGTGAAACTCGGTCTCAAAAAATAAAAAGAGGAAATTGTGGTTCCCTCAGAAGAAGAGAGACTTGTCAAAGGTCATTCTGTAAATGACAGAGTTGGCATTTATTAAGTCTCAGGTTTGAGATTGCTGCCTCCAGGGTTTTTCTGGCTTTGTGTTGACAATGCCAGATTTTCAAGGCGGCGGGGAGGAGTGTAGGAATTAGGGGAAGCTGCTATGTGACCCGCATCTTTCCTCTGTCTTCCACCCCAAGTGTCCTTGTGCCCCCAGCTACTTTCTCCAATTTGCCTGATTTCATCCTGGGTGTTTTGTGTTTGGCTTTCACCACTGACTTCTCCTGCAGGCCCCCTGACAGTGACAACGACTCTTAAGCAGCCTTGTGGTTTCACAGCGCCATCCCTGCCAGCAGCTAGTTTCTTCAGAGCCTTGGTCCCCCAGCTTGGGAGCCTGGGGATGGGTGTGCCCCATGGGAGGGGCAGCCAGGGACAGAGAGCAGAGAGACTGTTAGTGGGATGTTTCTGCCTGTGTGTCCCTGGGTGTCTGCATCTGCGTGGCAGCAGCCCAGCATGAGGCTGAGGGTGAGGGAGGCATGCCCGGGCATGTCTGCTGGGGCAGGCTGGCCAGGCTCCTGAGAAGACCAAGGAGATCCTTGGGAGAGGTGACTGGATCTGAGGAATGGAGAGAATGCCCGCGTCAGGGGAGGGGAGGAGAGCTGGAGCAGCGACGGGTATTGATGAGGAGGCTGTAATGGGGGTGGCTAATAGTAGTGGTGGGTAGCATTTATTGACTATTTACCAGATGCCTGGCACTGGCTTAGGTCTTTTACATATATTGGATCATTTAGTCCTTAGAACAACACCATGAAGTGAGATTTATCTCCGCTTTTCAGATTTTACATTTTGCAGTTTACAGGTAAGGAAACTGAGGCTCACGTCACCAGTCATCATTGGGGTCCCTGCCTGTCTGAGCCTCTGACTACTGTCCTCTCTGAAGACCTCAAGAGCCCTTGTGGGGACATCTGGAACAGCTGGGTGGGGTTCTAGGGGTGGGGGAGCTGGAGTGGTGTGGCTTAGAGCCAGGCAAATATGGATTTCTATTGTTTTTGTGTCTCAGACTGGCAGGGTCTAGGAAGTCTTGGGGAACTTTTATAGATCTTTAAAAAACTGAATTGTTTTCACCCTGGACTCCAAGATAATGAACTTTCTTTAGCCTCTGTTCATAAGGAGGTGCGGCCTTCTCTAAAAGACTCCTTCAGAATGCTGACTGTGATGGCTCCTCCGGGCCATACTACTACGAATTGGCATAAAAACTAACAGCTCAGACCCTCCTGGGCCAAACTGCAGAGGAAAACAATTCCTGGAGTGTCATAGTTGGCCACAAGCTGAACATGAGTAAGCAGCAGAGATGCTGATTTGTAAGAAAAAGCTGATTTGTGACAGTGTGATCTGCAAAAGAGGGAACTGTCCTCCTCCCCCAATTTGTGTAAGGCCAAGTGACTTACTCTGAGTTGGTCCCAAGGCTTTATTTCTAGGCCACTTGTTAGGAATGCGGAACCCCTTGCCTTGCAGAATTACTGTAGGAATGGAGGCGCAGTTCTGAAGCTAGCTTGGAAATGCCCACCTATAGCTCAGAACCTCATATTTATGAGAAAACAATAGGAGAAAGCAATTCCGCTGTGATGTGCAGCTAATTTTCACCATTCCTTTGTTATGACCAGGAAATGCCCCATTGGACACTTTGTGAAGGGAGCGATGATGTCATGGCCAGAGGCACAGCTTCTTTTAATTTTCAGGTTGTTAGTATTTGGCGAAGCCTGCCTCTTTCCACCCCCAACCCCTACTGGATTTTTCTGGAAGGCTTTTAGCTCTTTCCTCAATTGTGCGCACGTGTGTGTGCACACACACACAGAGACACACACACAGACATCCCCCCCACAGACAGACACAAACATACCATTTACACAGAGACACACACACAGACACACCACACACATAGACACACCACACACACAGACACACCACACACAGACACACAGACACACCACACACGCCACACACAGACACACACCACACACAGACACGTACCACACACAGACACACCACACACAGACACAGCACACACACAGAGACACACAGCACACACACAGAGACACACAGCACACACACAGACACACCCCACACATACAGACACAGAGACACACACAGACACACCCCACACATACAGACACAGAGCACACACACAGACACAGCACACACACAGAGACACACAGCACACACACAGACACACCCCACACATACAGACACAGAGCACACACACAGACACAGCACACACACAGAGACACACAGCACACACACAGACACAGCACACACACAGAGACACACAGCACACATACAGACACAGCACACACACAGAGACACACAGCACACACATACAGACACAGCACACACACAGACACAGCACACACACAGAGACACACAGCACACACACAGACATAGCACACACACAGAGACACACAGCACACACACAGACACAGCTCACACACAGAGACACAGCACACACACAGAAACACACAGCACACACACAGACACACACAGCACACACACAGACACAGCTCACACACAGAGACACAGCACACACACAGAAACACACAGCACACACACAGACACAGCACACACACAGACAGCGGGGCCTGCCTTGAGCAGCTCCCGCCTCTGTGGATGCCTGACCCCTTCCCTCACCCCAGTGTCTCTGACTCCCAGGGTGAGATGCTCCTTCACACACTGTCCTAAAGCCTGACAACAACAATATGCCAATGGTTAGTCCTGCCTCCAAAATACACCTCCCTTCAGATTGTATCTCCATCCTTCCAGGGCCTTCCATCTTCTTCACCAACACCGAGTCATCGCTTTTCATCCACACAAGGTGATTACCTATGGGACTCTTTGTTTTTGAGACGGAGTCTTGCTCTGTCGCCCAGGCTGGAGTGCAGCGGCGCGATCTCGGCTCACTACAACCTCTGCCTCCTGGGTTCAAGCAGTCTCTGCCTCAGCCTCCTGAGTAGTTGGCGTTACAGGCGCACACCACCATGCCTAATTTTTGCATTTTTCGTAGAGTCAGGGTTTTACCACGTTGGCCAGGCTGGTTGTGAACTCCTGACTGCCTTGGCCTCCCAAAGTGCTGGGATTACAGGCATGAGCCACCACGCCCCACCCACCTATGGGACTCTTGATTCCCCACTGGCACCCCTGCCCTGACCCCGGGTTCCATTCCCCTTGCAGGAGCTGGAGTGAGCTCTGAACTGTCTGTCGGGCCATGCTGCTTCCCAGCCCTGAGAGAGAAACCCCCAGCTTTGAGCCTGTCCCTGTCCCTCTGCTCCTCCTGCTTCTCGCCTCCTTTCTCTTTTCTCTGCCACCACATTGCCCCGGGCTGCCTGAAGACACCCAGCTCCTTCCCGGCTCTGGGCTCCTGCTCTGGCTGTCCCCAGACTGTAGGATGCACCTGTCAGTTTAAATCTTGGCCCCACCTCGGAGACATCTTCCTTGATGTCCCTTCCTAAAGTGGCCCCCCTCTACTCTCTTGGCTGATCCCATTTGTTCCCTCAGAGAACAAAGTCACAATCCACAGTGCTCTGTTTTTTCATGCGTGTCCTTTTACATCGCGTGTCTCCTCCACCGGAATGTAATTTTGGAAGCCTGCTCTAGTTGCAGAGTCCAGAACAGTGCTTGACTGTGAAGCTGTTCATAAATGTTTGTTGAATGAAGCACATTAAAGAGGTCGAATGAAAAAATGCTCCCACAGTCGGGAGACGTTGTGGCGTGAAGGGATTTTGGGAGGTGGATGCTGCAGAACCTCCAAGTCCTACTGGTTGGTGACTGACTCAAAGTGGAGGACGAGCAGAGTTGTGTGAGGGCCTTAGTGGTTGGAGGGCCCTGCTGGGTTTGGTGAGGATGAGCTTTAGAAGCCCAAGCCCTGGGGTCAGTGTCCAGGATGGACATGGCATTGGGGCTGATGCTTCCAGGAGGATCACAGGGGAGGTATAGCCGTTGGTGGAGACCTTGCTGTATCTATGCTTATTTTATTTTTCATTTATTGTTTTTTTTTGGGACAGGGTCTCACTTTGTTGCCCAGGCTGGAGTACAGTGGTGTGATCATAGCTCACTGCAGCCTCGAACTCCTATGCTCAAGCGATCCTCCTTCCTCAGCCTCCTCGGTAGCTGGGACTACAGGTACATGCACCATCATGCCCAGCTAACTTTTAATTTTTTTGTAGAGCTGGGGTCTCACTATGTTGCCAGGGCTGCATCTATGCTTGTAATAAATTGGGCTATGTGGTTTAAACACAAACAACAAACCCCACTTTCCCACCAAGTGGATTGAGAGTAACGGGGCTGGGGTGAAAATAATCACAGTTTAATTGGTTTTAAATATGCTAATGCCTGTGTTGAAAACACAGTGATACGAGCAGATGCTGGCACAACTTTGGGGGTGTGACCTTTGTGCCACATGGTGGGATGACTAATGAGTGAAAGACAACCCCCCAAAATAAGTTAGAGGTATGTTTATGAAGAATCAAGTAGAGTCCTGGGAGAAACAAATTCAGGACACATAAAGGACTTGGTGATAAGGGGAGAAGAATGTATGAACAAAAGAAGCAAAAGGAGCAAGTTCTTTTAGATGTTTTTCTTGGTCTGTAAGAAAGAAATCAAATATTATTTTTGAGATATTAAAACAGTGGATTTTCACTCTCAGTAATCAAGATGCTCTTATTCACTGAATCAATGGGTTTAGTGGCTTCAGGGAAGCCCCAAACGTCCTCGCACAAAGAAGTCTTCCTCAGTTTTGTGTTTCAAACTAGATTTTAAAAAGTCTGTAGCAAGCTAATAGTCAATAATTTTGAGAGCCTGGTTAATAAGAGGGATATATTTTTTCTGCTTTCCAAGAAGATCCCTTCTGTAAATCCAGAGCAGAGCTGGGGGGATCTGAGCATGGCTTGATGTGTGAAGCCACAGTGGAGAGAACAGAGGATTCCTCACAAAGGAAGTGCCTGCCCCACAGGAAGGAAGAAAAACCCAGCTGGTGCTGGGAGAGGCTTGGAGGGAGATTGACGCAATGAAGGGGCAGGGTACCATGCTGTGTGCCCCACCCACCACCCATGAACTAAGGGTGGGGGCAAGGTGGTAGAAACAGCCTACATAGGTAGACAGGAGGTAGAAAGTAGAGGGACCTGTCCCCTACTTCCCATTTGGATATCTGGGAAGAGAGTCTCTTGCAGGTATCTGCAGGGCAGCCTTTGCATGGTAGAAATGCTGGCAAATTGTGTCCTGTCAGAGGAAGGGCTGGGACAGTGGCCCTTGCTTCTCCACGGCCTGCATAAGGGTGTGTCCACAACTTCCCAGGTGCCCCCTGCGGGGCATACGGAGGCTGGGAATTAAGAGCCAGCGAGCTGCAGAGGTGGGCCTAGGAGGCCCCATGGCTGAGTCTCAGAGTGGACAACCAGAGCAGGGCTAGAGGGAGGATGTGGCTGGGCCCTAGAGGGTCAGCAGCGCCAGGGAGCACTGAGGAGAGGCCTGGGCAGTAGGGGGCTGGTCAGACCATCCAAAACCATGTTCAGGCCATTGCCTAACCTGAGAGACCAGGTTATAAGCATCTCAAACCCAGCCACACAGGGGCAGGAAAGGGTGTGGCTTAGGGACAGCACATGGGAAAGGCATTTAAGGGTTTTCATTCATAATAAGGTCAAAATGAGTCCCTAGTGTATTAAGATCTGTAAATAAATGAACAAGTTACAGTCTCCTCAGTGGAACCTGGTCCCATTCTCAGGGCTGGTCAGCTCGATTCTGGAGAATTACAGTCATGCTGGGTCTCCCTTCGAGACTGAACAGACAAATCGGACCTCCATACAGAGGAGAGTGGGGAGAAACCTCCACATAAGAGCAGCTTGCAAGGACTCGAGAACACGCAGTCTGGCGAAAGAGAATTCAGGGTGACACTGCTTAGGTTCCGTATGTTCCCAAGAGCACACCCAATGCACGCATGTTATAGGGACAGAGTGAAGCTCCAAAACCGCTAGAACTATCTAATAATTCTAAACCGGCAGGGGCTGAACCAGAACACTTCCTGGATTGGAGCATCCAAGCAGAAGCCAAAACACTGCTATGCAGGAGAGGCAGATGTCTGCCAGGTCATGGACCTGGACAACCTTCAACATTTCTTCCAACCTTAAGATTTCGTGAATCGCTGAATGAAATTCTAATTTTAAAGTTTCTGACTCAGAAGCAGAGGAGGCTCCTATTTTGAGTCAGAGTACCCGAATGCAAAGATCCCAGCTCCTTGGAGACAGACGGACCTGGCTTCTGAGACTGGCTCTGTCACTCACTAGTTGTGTGCCCTGGAGAACTTCCTTTCCCTTTCTGAAGTGCAGTGTTCTCATCTAGAAGATGGAGACATTTACCTGGCAAGGTGTTGTTGGCATTAAGTGAACCAATGTAATAAACATGGCCGATTGTGTGTGTGCACACACGTGTGTGTGTATGTGTGTGTTAGTGGGGGTAGGAGGAGTATAGGATGTTTGCCATGCTAGAAAATCGTATTATTGCCTACTGGTTAATTTTCTTCTTCCTAAGACCAGCTTACAGAGCAAGGGAACACTGAGTTTAATGAAAAGATGAAACAGATGCCGATGTGGTGTGGACAGATACTGGTTTGAATCCTCTTAGCAGAGAGGGGAAAGTTCTGATGTGGGGAAGATGGGGGAGGCACCTGTGACTATGCTGGGGGAAGGGGCAGGAGGAAGTCACCCCCTGAGGGCCACAGGTGGACACCCTCTGGCCCTGTACCTGGGCTTCTGGCCATGAGATGAGTTGAGCTGTGTGGTGCTCACTGTCTTTTGGGAAGGGAATGGGCCTGGACGGATCTGCCTCCCCCCATGACTGTCTGCAGGTGACACCAGATCTGCAGTGACCTTTAGCTGTGAAGTGGGCACAGGTTTTCTTTTAGCCCTCCCCACCTTGGCTTTCTGCACTTGTTCCTGCCAGCCCCCACTCCCTCTTACTTCATTCCTAATTCCTTCCTCCATCACATTTTTTTCCCTTAGAAGCTCATGTACATAAGGGAGGTATGAAGGACTGGCAAAGCTACAAGCCCGACCTCTCCCAGGGATGCTTGCATTTCAACTCTCAGCCACTGCCAGTCTTCACTTCAGCTGGCACCACGCTGATGTCTGTCCCTTTGCAAAGCTGACCTACCCTGGGTCAGGTCCTGGCTGCCTTGAGTAGTGGGAGAGGGTAGTGAAACACAGGCCCAAAGCTCTGCGGGAGCAGCCCCCTCTCCCCCGGCCTTGGGCTAGGAGGAAGTGAGTGGGTCCTGCCTTGGGGCCTCCACTTCCGGGGCCTGGAGGGCTGAGGCTGACTCAATGATTCCTGGAAGGTGATGATGTCACGGTGACATAGCAGTTCCCCTCTCCAGCCAAACTCAATAGGAGAGTGGGTGATGAGTGTCTCTCATTGGCACAGAGGCTCAGGAGTGACCAAGTCCACTGGCTTGTCCAGGCCACTTAATGCCACTTTCATCAATAGTTCCCTTCCTCAAATTCCTACAGCTCTGATCATCTGTCCCTTCGGCGATCTCACATTCTGGACTTCCAGGGCAGTCTTGATTGATTTTAAACATTCTGCTCCTTTGTTTTTCCATGTCAACAAATTCACAAATCATAGAAAATCATCCCAGGTTGGCCTGTGCATCCTGGGGCTTTGGGGACATGGAGCCACCAGGCTTTCTCCGAAACAGAGCATGATCATGTGTACCCTTGTGTCCCAGCTTCACATCTGCATGTCTTTTCAACAATATTAATAGCTTCTTTAGAATCAGCATCTGTGTCTGTTTCTTTTGTCTTCTCCAGGACTCCCCGAAGGGGCTGAGTGTGTGGGAAAATCTAAAAATGCTTATGGGGAGGGGGAGGTTAAGCTCCCCTTCTTGTCCTTGTCAAGGTCTCTCTCCCACTGCTTCACTGGGGGTGAAGGGCGCATCTGTAACAAGGGTCCCGTGAGTCTGTAAGGAGATGTCTTTGCTTCTCTCACCCGTGCTTATCAAAGGGTAACCTAGTCCTGGTGTGGGTTTGGGAAAAACGCTGCTGGACTTACGCAGGTCGGGTTGTTTTTGGATAGCCACTCCCTGCACTCTTGTTTACCAAAGACCTGACTCCCTAACAGACTGCGTCAGACCCGCATGGAGTAAAATAGATCCTTTGTCAGCTGGAGTCTGAATTCAAACGCCTTCTCTGCAGCCCTTTCCAGACCGACCCCAGCGTTTTACAACGGAGCCCTGGCGTTGCCTTACGCTGCCCGATGCTGCCCCCTGCAGGCGGCTCGCAGACACAGCCCGCTCTGCTGAGCTTGGAGGCTCAGCCTGTGCCGCCCAAATGGTGGCTTTTCATCACCTAGAGTTGTCAGAGCAGCTAATAGCGCATGAACAGGAAGAAAATTAGGCTTCTCTAAGTGAATTGGGTGTTGAAAGACACTGAGATAAATGGTGGAGGCAGTGAGAATGACGGAGTTTCAAGTTTGAAGTAATACGTTGGAGAGGTGAGAATGGGAGAAGGAACCACCAGTGTTTACAGTGACCATGTGATTTAAATCTGGGCTCACAACAGCCTCAGAGGCAAATGCTCTGAACTCCTGTTTAATAGATGGTGAACTCGAGTCTTAGAGAAAAGTTAAATAACTGCCCAAGATTATACAGCAATAAATGGCAGAACCAGGACTTGAACTCAGTGACCCCAGGCCTCTGTGACATCTGCTGTCCTGCCACCCCACCATAAGAGATCATCGTCCTGCCTGGAGGAAGATCCCTTTGTCTGTGGGATGAACGGGGGTTTTTGGAATGAAGGGGGAAACTTCAACGGGGAATTCTCTGCACTAAGAGAGTTTGTAGCTGTAGCCTCTGTCATGTGATTTGAGGGGTGTTTGGCAGATCTCCCTGGCTGAAAGCATCTCCCCAACTTGCTCATTACATTGCCTGGAATTTTGCTATAGAGAGCCCTTCCTTTGATTAAGACTGGCTAAGTGGTACTCCTGTTAAATGAAAATGCAATTCCTGTCGGTGGGGGGAAGTCACAGGTTAAACCTTTAAATCTTAATTCAACCTCAGTGGAGATTAGCTCATCAGGTTGCTTCATCCCTGAGGTAGAGAATGAAGGGTGTGGGGAAATTGGAGGACAGGGGTGTGCCAAAACCTAATTTTGTTACTGAATGTCTCACAGACTCCGCAAACTGTACCAAATGAAACTCTTTATCTTCTCTCCCACGCTCTCCCTTCTTGGACATTAAACAGGCTCAGAAATCCCTGCACCGTCCCTCTCTCCTCTATCTGACGGTCATTGGATCCTCCCCATCCTGCCTCTGAAGTGGCGCTTGAATCTCCACCGTGCGCCCTCACTCTCTGGTGTGCTCAGGCCCTTGTCAGTGTGTTTCTGCCCCTGGGACTTCACCCTTTGATCAAACCTCAGTGCAGCAGCAAATGAGAGCTTTCGAAAACATGAATCGGAGAATGCTGCATTTCCTCCTAAAATCTTCCTCACTGCCTTAAAGAAAAGTGCCAACTCCTTTTGGCACTTTTTTTTAGGAGCGTGTTTCCATCCTTCTCTCTTGCCTCTCCTCTGTACCTCTCATTACCACCCTCCTTCACCCCATTCCCCAGCCTGGTCGTCTCATTCACAGCTCCATGCTTTTGTGCTTTGTTTTTGTCAGGAAAGCCCTTCCCCTTCAGTGGTCAGCTAACTACTCCTCCATGAAGCCTTCCCTGATTCCTACTCCAGCCCCCAAGGAAGAGGTAAGTTCTTATGTCACCCCCGACTAAGCCCAGACACATGAATGAATGGATGAGTAAACGAAGCTCAGCTGATGAGTGGACTATCCATTTCAAAAGATGAGGTTGTTTCTGAAATGAATATAAACCAAACTGTGGCTGCATTTTTGAAGGTTGCTGCTATGATGCACCGAATGTGTCTGTGTGTGCATTGGTGGGATACAAAGACTCTGTTAGGGTAAATAATTTGATGGGCCTTGAACTTATACAAGCAGACTAGTTTCAGAACATTGCCATGGAGACGAATGAGGACTCAAGCAGCAGGGTACCACTTAGGCAGTGACAGATTTTACAGAAAATGGGCTTAGATACACCTTTCTTGTCAAAAAATCTCCTAGCTAATGGGGAGAGTGCTTCAAGGCAGAATAAAAGCTTGCACCCTCAATGAACAAAAAGCTCCTGAAGTTAGAAAAGCAGGAAGTAGTAGGTCAGGAAGAAGACAAATTCTTAGTGATAGACTGAAAGACAAATGGCCAATGAGGATTTTGGGGCCATGACATTATGTTAGATAGAGTTCAGCATATTATATTAGAAAATAAACAAAGGATGAAGATGTTTCAAATGTATCTTTATATGTTCTGTTGTGTGAAGTGAGGAAACTGGTCCCTTGGTCCTTGGCAAAGGGTTAAATCATTTATTTATTTATTTATTTATTTGAGATAGAATCTCACTCTGTTGCCCATGCTGGAGTGCAGTGGTGCAATTTCAGCTCACTGCAACCTCTGCCTCCTGGGTTCAAGCGATTCTCCTCTCTCAGCTTCCTGAGTGGCTGGGATTACAGGCACCTGCCACCATGCCAGGGTCATTTTTAGTAGAGATGGGGGTTTCACCATGTTGGCCAGGCTGGTCTTGACCTCCTGACATCAAGTGATCTGCCTGCCTTGGCCTCCTGAAGTGCTGGGATTACAGGCATGAGCCACCATGCCTGGCCATGTTAAATCATTTATTACAGAACTAGAACTATATAATCTCCTATGTAGCCACCATAGAATCTTCCAAGTCAGGGGTTGCACTTGGACGCATCTGCCATCCAATCCACAGACCCCATTCAACATTTTCAAGTTGTCCCAACAATGTCTGTTTTTCCTTTCTAGTCCAAGATCATATCCAGGAATACAAGTTGCATTGTTCTTGTGCCTCTTTAGTTTTCTCCAATTTGAAACAGTTTCTTAGCCATTCCCTGTCTTTCATGTCATCTACTGTTTTAAAGAGTACAAACCTTTCATTCTGTAGGACGTCCCTGGGTCTGTCTAATGTCCTGGTGTCCAGACTTGGGTCATGCTCCCTTGTTAAGAACACCACAGAAATGATGCTGTTCTCATCTCAGCGAATTGCATGGGGTGGAAGGAGGAGACATAAGATGTAAATCCATTCCACAACTGGTACTGTTTATTTTGATCACCAGTCACGTACCAACGTTTGTCTGCCAGGTTTCTCTCCTATAAGGACCCCATTTACCCCCTTTAAATTGATGGCATTTTGTGGGGAGATAGTCCTGTTCTTTATCAAACTCCTGTCTCCCAATCTTAGCCTCCATTGATATCTTCTGCCAGAATCAACCACCATTATGACAGTTTCCAAATTATGGTTTTTTATTTCCATCATTCCTTTTCGTTTTATTAGTTGGTGGGCTACTGTAATACAAAACTTTCCCATTTTCTGTTTGTGTTTGCATATTTATTTCAGTAGGGAATCTTGTTTTAGTCAATGGATTGTATTCCATTGCTATCCTTGTTTATTTTGATGTTCACATTGCTCCAGATATGGCTGGTGGAGTCCCTTCAGCTGGGCTCCTGCCTCCTTTTGACACATCTCCACCATTCTCAGCACTGTCTTACTTTCTGGCACTACAATATGACCAAAGCTCATCTTGGTACTTTTCATTCTCCAGCCTGGAATTAGCTCTTTTTCCAAGGAACCCTGCCTTCTTGTAGTGGAGCATGGTGTTTAGAAACCAAGATCTGAGCGCTTAGTGTGCTTCTTGTTACTGGTGTGCCATTGCTTCTAGGCCCGTTGAATGGACAGATCTAGGAAATATATGTGTGCATATGTACACTCACAGGTGTATACACACATCTAGAACTATTTCCATATCTACCTGTGTTTATATATTAGAAAACAGTAAGTCGATGATACTTACATCTCCAGTTCCAACCCACCTCAGTGTTCTTTATAATTTCCTTATTTTCTATATTTGTAATTCTCTTCTCCAACAGTAAGAAACCTGACTGTCATTATCCTCAAGATATGTACTTATTTGCTCAATAAGTTTACTTATTTGTGTAATTTAATCAATCTCCCAATGACAGCAGCTGTGCCTTTCACCTCTACTCCCTCTCCCCACCCCTAGTGCCCTGTATCCTTAGGTGCCAACAGGCATATCATCAGTGAACTCCACACAGCAGCCCCTTCTCTGTCAATACCCCATAGGGGCCCTGGGTGACTCCTCCATGACAGGAAGGGAGGGGAAGGAAAAAGAGAAGAAAGGAAGATGGAGCCTGTGTGGATTGTTTGAACTGAATGCCAAAAGGAAGAAGGAGATGCCATTTTGCCTATGCCAGCAAGTTTGCTTTGTCAAGTATTGATCATTAAGAAAGTACAGATAGATGCTCACTCATGTATGAATCAGTGATGAATATGACTTTAATACATAATCTAGTTATTGATCAGGGGTCAAAGAAATGCTCAAAGGGCAATTCAGAGTTGTAGTCAGGCTTCAAAACAGGACACTTCTCAAAATTTGGGGGACAAAGTTAAAAATAGCTTATCCTGGTGGGTATGGTGGCTCATGCCTGTAATCCCAGCACTTTGAGAGGCTGAGGTGGGCGGATCACTTAGAGCTCAGGAGTTTGAGACCAGCCTGGCCAACATGGCAAAACCCCATCTCTACAAAAATACAAAAAAATTAGCTGGGCATTGGTGGTTTATGCCTGTAGTCCCAGCTACTCAGGAGGCTAAGACTGGAGAACCTCTTGAGCTCGGGAAGCAGAGGTTGCAGTGAGCCGAGATTGCGCTACTGCACTCCAGCCTGGGCAACAAAGTGAGACCCTTTCTCAAAAACAAAAACAAACCTGTTTATCCTCTGAGGTTGAAACCAACAAAAATCAGCCCAAATAAATGAGATTAACCACCTGTGGGTGGAACTGTCTTGTAAGATGACTTATAATTGACTCCAGGCACCTTTCACATCTCCATGAAGGAGAATGAAGAGCCTTCCAAAATCTTCCTCTGCAGTAGTTCATTCATTCAACACTATTCACATTGATGTCTGCCATGTTTTCCCTTGTAGCATTGCTATTTATCTCTTTGGAATTACATGTCAGTCGGCTGAGCACCAGAGGATATAACAGGGAAGAAAACACATTCCTTATAGTCAGAAAGTTCATGATCTGGAGCAGGAGACAGTGACCAGGGCACTTCAGCACGTGAGCTACGTGCATTGAGAGGCGTGAGCATCCAGCTCTGACTGGGTGGAGGTGTGTGGAAAGGTGTGCTGGGGAGGCGACTGCAGATACCTGAAGGACTCATGAGAATCAGCCGAGAGAAGGGAGTGGAGGGAATGTTACAGAAGGAGTGGCCACATGTCCCAAGGTCTGGAAAAGTGAGAGAGCACAGAGCGCCTGGCCAGTGGCAAGTGAGAATGTCAAGTTTGAGGGGGAATGGGGTGGGGGTGAGATGGAGAGCTAAGCAGACCTGGATCATCAGAGGTCTTGGAAGCTGTATTTAGGCATTTGGATTTCGTCCTAGGGAGAGCAAGACGTCTCTCAAGCATGATCTGCAGACGTGTGATATGATCATGATCCCATTTTAGAAAAGCTCCCTGACTGTGTACAACAAGTTAGCCACACTCCTGCTTAAGGGCACAGTCTCCACAAGACTGCCCTCACTTCAGACATCAGCCCTAAGTCTGGAGGTCCCCAGGGTCACCTTCTCTTCAGACAAGTTGCCTAGAAATTCAGGGGTTCCCACACTACCCTCAGCTTTGATGATTCACTAGAACAACTCATGGAAATCTGGAAAGGGCTATACTTATGATTATAGTTTTGTTATAATAAAAAGATACAAATTGGAACCTGTCAAAGAAAGAGACATACAGCAGAATCTGAGAGGGTTTCAAACATGAAGCTTCCGTGTCCTCAGGACACAGTGCCCTGCCAGCATTGATATGTGACAACATGCTTGAAGGAAGTCCACTCAAGCTTTGGCATCCAGAGTTTTTACTGGACTCTAATGAAGTCCAGAGCCTTCATTAGCTAGGCGTGATTGATTGAATTATTGCCCCTGTGGGTGGACTCGATCTCCAGGCCTCCTCCCCTTCCCAGAGGTCAGGCTGGTATCATGAGGCCCAAAGGCCCAACCCCCTAACCACATGGTTGGTCCTTCTGGCGTGGTCAACCCATACACTGAGTCCTCTCATAATAAATAAGGGACCCACCACGGATAACAAAGATACTCCTATCACTTGGGAAATTGCAAGGGTTTAGAGGTTACCTCCCAGGAGCTGGGACAAATGCCAGATCTCTCCTTAGGTGAGGCCAGATTGCTTACTATACCCTGTGGTGTGGCAATTAGACTGGATGAAAGCAAGTTGAGAAGCAGAGAAATCAATTGCTAGTTGCTGCAGCAATCTAAGGAAGATAACATGGTGGTTTGGACCAAAGAACAGCAGAAGGAATGGAAAGAAGTGGAAGGTTTTCAAATGCTTGAATCCTAGAATGTTGGGACTTGGTGGCTGACTACTGGATAAGGGGTTTGAAGGATGGGGAGGAGTCAAGGATGATGAGTAGGTATCTGGTCTGGGCAAATGGTTGGTTTGGGGCTGCTGTTTGCCAACACCTTTGGCTTTCAGTTTCCTGAACAATCAGCCTCGCAGAGTGCTTGGCACATAGTGAGCATCCCATAAATAGCTATTGAATAAAGAATGAATGAATGGACCCATCTTTAAGCAAAAGAGACAGTGACTGGACCTAGACTGCTGCAAGAGAGGAGACCAGGTTCAGAAATGTTTATTGTCCACTTCTGAGACAGGGCCACAGAGTAGCTCACCTATCTTCAGCAACTGGACATTTTCACCTTCCATGTAGGAGGCTTCCCAGGCCTGCTTAAGTAGGTGTGTGTATGTGCATGTGCATGTGCATGTGTGTGTGCATGTGCGTATGTGTATGTGTATATGCGCGTGTGTGTATGTGTATGTGTGTGTTTATGTGTGTGTGTATGCGTATGTGTATGTGTATGTGTGTGTGCATGTGCGTGTGTGTATGTGTATATGCGCGTGTGTGTATGTGTGTGTTTATGTGTGTGTGTATGCGTATGTGTATGTGTATGTGTAATGAGGGGTGGCTCTATGCAAGTTGTGAATTTTATTGATCGTTTGAAAGCCAGACTCATAATACTATTTTGGGGAGGCTTGAAAAGGGGCTTATGTATGCTTAGAATAGAATTGGGTTGAGTGTTGAGGAGGAACTTACTTTCTCCTCTTTTCACGTTTCTATATGAGGGAGTTTGATTAGGGTGACATTCCTGGCTTCTCTCTGTCTCTTACTCTCTTTTCTTTAGTAGTTGAACTGCTTAGTGAGCCTGCAAAGGAAATTGAGGGTATGTGGCTCAGCCCCTTCCTGGCCTTCTCTGAGGATCTGCCTGCCTGCAGACAGTGTGATCATTGCTTTCAGCCAGGTGCTTAGTGAGGCAGGCCCACGGTGGGGGGCCTGGGGGATGCAGCTGTGCTGGTGCATGGGAGGGCGAGTCAGCCTGATCCTGGGATGCAGTGTTAGAAAGCTCATGGTTACTGTGTCCCTAAGTCACATTTCCTGAATCAGTTTTGTTATTCATATGTTCATGAAAGAGGGATGTTGTCTATTTCAATCTCTCCCCAACACTGGGCTCCCAGCTGAAGGAAAGATGTCTGCAATGGGCTTTTCATGGCCAAAATGACCCTGCCCTGTTTCCCTGGGGAGTGGTTTTATGGCTCCCTCCCAGCTTGAGTTCCCGTTTGTCTTAGTCCATATTCTATTGCTATAACCGAATATCTCAGACTAGGTAATTTATAAAGAAAAGGAATTTATGGAATTATTATAGTTCTGCAGGCTGGAAAGTCCAAGGTGAAGAAACCACATTAAGCGAGGGCCTTCTTGCTGGTGGGGACTCTCCATAGAGGCTCAAGGTGTTACAGGGTGTCACATGGTAGAGGGCTCATGAGAGACCTGAGCTGGCTTTTAATAACAGACTCGTGCTTGTGATAACAAACCCACTCCCCTGATTTCCCATTAATCCATTAGCCCATCAATCCATTAATCACATTAACTATTAATTATTAATCAGAGCCCTCCTGACTCAATCACCTCTTAAAGGCCCCTCCTGTTAATACTGTTACATTGGGGGTTAAGTTTCAGCGTGAGTTTCAGAGGGACACTGTTGTTTTAGAGAGCCTCCCAGATTCCCTTCATGATTCGAATATGGTTATGCAGTCTGAGTTGGGATTGAGTTAGGGTTACTGGATTGTGATTTCTAGCTGGTTTTAAGAACCATGAATCTGGTACTCAATAAATACTAGTTGATGGCTTGGGGAATGTGAAGCTTAGGCTTGTGTGGTATTGGTGTTGGGTGGGCTTTGGGCAAGACACCAGTGGATATGGGCAATATCTTGGTGCTGATGTTGGCTGCACCCAGATGCATCTGACGACTTTTCCAGTGCTAACCAGCAGGTGCTATTTGTTATATCACAAAAGTCTTCCAAGTCCATGTGACTGAAAATTGGGGGCAAAGGTCACCTCTGAAAGCTTATTTCTATCTTATTCCTATGTCATTGCTGAAAAGTCCATGTGCTTGTTATAGATTGTTGTGATAAAAAGAGGTGAGTTGCTGAACTGAGAAAAATACTACAAAGTAGAAGGAGGGGATTAAATATATAAATTTATAACCCGTAATCAAAATTATGACTTTGATCTAGGCTTAGAAGCTGTTACACCTTATCCTATGTTACTGGCAGGCAATGTAAGGTCAATATATTGCCAAAGAATTTGCCAGCCACACTAGGCAGCATCCTCTCTACTAAAAGACCGCAGCCATGGAATGAGAGCCCTGCTCTTGGTCACAGACAGCCCAAGTCTGTTTTGGGAGCCAGATTTAAGGGAGGCCATAGCAGTGCCAGATGGTAGAAACCAGAATATGGACTGTGGAGCCAGGTAGAACCTGGTTTGAATCCTGCCTCTGCTGTGAATGACCTTGGGCATATAACTTAACCTCTCTGAGCTTCTCTGAGCCACTGTCTTCTTACCTGTGAAATGGGAATGGTAACATCACACTAGATTCTTGTCACGATCAAAAAAGATGATGTACTTGTATGTGTACCGAGCACCATGCCTTGTTGACATTGACATGTGAGACCCTTTCTCTCAGATTCGAGCCTGATTGCATCAGAATTCTACAAGGCCTGGCATCCACTTATCAATGGTATTAATTTCCTCCACGAGGCTGCTTTGACCTCTAGAACCTAGCAGGCATGCTCTTCTGATCACCTTATTGCTTGCATGGATCATATCTTGCTTTGCTGAGTGTGCTTTCTATTCCTGTATCTACATTTTACTTCCTCGATTAGGGTGTAATCTCTTTCTGAGCAGAAGCTTTCATCTTCTAAAAATTTTCCATTTTTGTGTCTTAGTGCCGTTCCTTTTTGCACATAGCACTTGCTCAAAAAAATAGGGATCGGTTGATAGTTTATCTACTTTTGTGTCCTAAAAATTGCCCCAGAGTCATGAGCTGAACTTAGCTTACATGAGGTCATTACTACAAAGTCACAACATGTTTATTCATTTATCTGTTTATGTGGTAGCCCTGCCATGACTCACACATCCAAATGAGGATTGCAGCCGTATAAGGGGCACTGTGAAGGCTGACTGTGATTCTGGGAGCCCGTCACCTCGCAAAACATTTTTGGAACTCCTGCTTCGAATCCGTGCCAGAGTTGCAGTGGTGAATCTTCACACCTCCTGGGAGGAGTTATTTTTGGAAACAGTGAAAATCTGTCTGGTCACATTTGGTAGGTGTGGTCATTCAGGGCCTGAGTGTGAGGAGGGATGTTCAGTGGAGTGATAATTAGTTACTATTTAATTGGCCATTTCCAATGCGTCAGCCACTTTATATCTACTGTCTTATTTTAATCTTAATATGACCTCTATGAAGTAGGTGGTCTTATTATCACCATTTTATAGGAAAGGAACCCTAAGGCACAGAGAGTATAAAGCACACTCTGTACAAGGACTCCATGGCTTTTTACCCATTATTAAGCTAGTGCAGCAGGCACGGGGGACATACCCAAGTAACCCTTACATACCCTAGCAGAGGGACAAGGGGCCTGCACACCTTTTTTACAAACAATAAGGCCAAGGACAGCCACATCTGGATTAGTGGGAGCAAAGGTAGAGTATGGGGGATGTGGGAACCCAGGAGGGCTGAGAAAACTGGTCAGATCCTGCATCATAGGTGAGTACGGACACCTCAGGGGGCCCTCTGGGAGAGACCAGAGAAGGGAGGAGAGCACTGGGGCTTGTTTGGGAACCTCTGAGTGGGTAAAGATGGTCGCTAAAATCCCCCACTGAAGGAATTCCTTTTATGCCTCTCTTTTTTGCTTTCTTAAAATTGTATTCATACTTGCTGATTATAAAAGGAGTTCAAATGAGAACACTTGGACACAGGGTGGGGAACATCACACACTGGGGCCTGTCATCGGGTGTGGGGAAGGGGGAGGGATAGCATTAGGAGATATACCTAATGTAAATGACGAGTTAATGGGTGCAGCACACCAGCCCGGCACATGTATACATATGTAACAAACCTGCACGTTGTGCACATGTACCCTAGAACTTAAAGTACAATAAAAAATAAAAAAAAAAATAAAGAAAATAAAAGGAGTTCAGGTTCATCGTAGAAAACTTGGAAAATATAGAGAAGTAATAAAGAAAATAAAAGTCATCTATAAATGTCCCTCTCCTCCCCCAGGCCTCAGGCTTTGCTAAGACAAGGCCGCTGAGCAGATCGGCACACATCGGGTTATTTATAAGTCTCCCGCCTTCCTCTCCACCCACTCCCCTCTCTCTTGGCTACGGAGAAGCCTTCGGCCAGGACATTCCCTCGCAGCCTACTCAAGCTGCTATATAAAGCCCTGCACTTCTCGGGGCTGGATCAGAACGTTCCTTATCTCTGTGCAGCAGGACGCTGATAATCTGCCCAGCTGGCAGGCGCTCTGAGGTCGGCTTGGGCTGCTGCTATCAGGGCCTGCAGCCCCTGTGTGGTCGTCTTCGCTGGTTCCCGCTGAAACCTGGCCAACAACACTAACTGAAACCTCAAATATAGGAAGTTGTTTGCTTGTTTCATTAGAGGGCAGTTGCCAGACAGCTGAGATGAACTTAATGGGCTTGGCATGGCTGACTGGTGTGTCCAGCACATGCAGGCTCTGTGGTCAGTACTGATGGCCCATCATGACGTCCCCTTCGGAAACAGCTGTGCCAGCTCCCTCCTTCCCCAGCCCCCACCCCTGTTCCTTCCCCTTTCTCTGCATTAGTGCTTGGCTCAGAGTCTTCTGCATCCATATGGCTTCTACAGGCAAAGGCCTTCGTGGCCAGGTGGCCTGCTGCATTGCAGTTCCACAATTCCAGGCTGGACTTCTACCTAATTGAGAGTGGACCGCAGCAGACTTACTTGCTCTGCCTGGAAAATAAGTTTTGTCATGGGAGGCAGAACCATCTTATTGCTGCAAGTCAGGGCAGAGGAGTGTACAAAAGAGGCAAGGTATTATCCTGAAAAAATACACAGGTTTTAAATCAGAGCTGATGTGACATCCTAGCTTCTCCACTTAGAAAGAAGTGTGATCCTAAGTCAGTTATGTAACCCCTTCAAAGTCTGGTTTTCTCATCTTTAAAACGTAGAGTGATATTTCCATCCTAGAACTGTTGTAAAATGTAAATAAGATGACATATATAAAGCACTGAAAACATACATCAGATGGCATTATGGTAGCTATTTTTTTCTTTTCTTTTGTTTTTTTGAGATGGAGTCTCACTCTATTGCCCAGGATGGAGTGCAGTGGCACAATCTCAGTTCACTACAGCCTCTGCCTCCTGGGTACAAGCAATTCTCCTGCCTCTACCACCCAAGTAGATGGGATGACAGGCACCCACTACCACTCCTGGCTAATTTTTGTAGTTTTAGTAGAGACAAGATTTCACCATGTTGGCCAGGCTGGTCTCAAACTCCTGACTTCAAGTGATCTACTTGCCTTGGCCTCCTAAAATGCTGGGATTATAGGCGTGCTGGGATTACAGGTGTGAGCCACCGTGCCCAGACTTGTGGTAGCTATTATAATTATTGTTAATAATATTATTATTTATGAACATTTGAATGAGAAAGAGTTGGTGGTTTCTTTTTTTCCTCTTAGATTCGAGATTCAACAGGGAAACTTTGGACTTTGGTTGTTAAGAAACCCATCTAGGCAGGTAGGTGTGTTTCCATTGATATTTAAATGAGTTTTTCAAGTTTTGAGAGAATTTTTTCAAAGGAACTTCTGGGCCCTGAGAAGGTTCTGGTTCACCTTCATATTGGTCTCATAAGAATCAGGTCAACCTCATATGAAAAGGCAAGTCATTGTACCTACTGCTTGGTCAAAATTTAGTAGCAAAATATTCCTGCTGTAAGCCACAAGACACTTTCAAGATGGAATAATTATCTATAAAACAGCAATAATGAAAACATCACTTACCAGAACTTAGGAGGTACAGTTAAAGCACTGTCCAGAGGAAAATGTGTAGTGTGATGGTTCATTTTATGTGTCAACTTGTCTAGGACACAAGGTGCCCAGATATTTGGTCAAACATTCTGGGTGTGCCTGTGAGGGTGTTTCTCTTTTTAAATTATTATTATTATTTTTTGAGACAGGGTCTTGCTCTGTCACCCAGGCTGGAGTGCAGTGTCAAGATCTTGGCTTACCGCAACCTCAACCCTTGGGCTCAAATGATCCTCTCACCTAAGCATCCTGAGTAGCTGAGATCACAGGCATGCCACCATACCTGGCTAATTTTTGTATTATTGTTATTTTTTGAGATGGAGTCTCGCTCTGTCAGACAGGCTGGAGTGCAATGGCATGATCTTGGCTCACTGCAACCTCTGCCTCCCAGGTTAAAGCAATTCTTATGCCTCAGCCTCCCGAGTAGCTGGGATTACAGGCGTGCACCACCACATCCAGCTAATTTTTCTATTTTTAGTACAGACGAGGTTTTTGCCACATTGGCCAGGGTGGTCTTGAACTCTTGGGCTCAAGCAGTCCACCTGTCTCAGCCTCCCAAAGTGCTGGGATGACAGGTATGAGCCCCCATGCTGGCTGAGGGCGTTTCTATGTGAGATTAGTGTTCAAATTGGTAGACTGTGTAAAGCAGACTGCCCTTCCTGATGTGGGTGAGCCTCTTCCAACTCGTTGAAGGCCTGAATAGATCAAAAACGCAGAGTAAGAGAGTCTTCTCTCTCTCTCTCTGCCTATCTTTGAGTTGGAACATCAATCTTCTGTCTTCAGACTCAGACTTGGACTGGAACTTATATCATAAACTCTCCTGGTTCTCAGGCCCTCAGACTTGGACTGGAATGACACCATTAGTTCTCCTGCATCTGTAGCTTGCTGACTGAAGATCTTACAGCTTCTCATCCTCCATGATTGTGTGAGCCAATTCCTCATAACAAATTAATACATATCTACATAGATATCTGATTAGTTCTGTTTCTCTGGATGACTCTGATTTATATGCATAGTCTTATAATGAATTAATAAAAAATCAAACAGGAATGAGAAAATGAAATAAGCATCCAATGGAAGTAGTTAGAAAAAAGGCAATAAATGTCAAGAAAGCAGAAAGGAATTAATAAATGTTAAAACAGAAATCAATTAATTAAAAGACAAAAATATTTTATAATTGATAAACTGATACATAATAAATAAATTCAAAATAAAATTCTTTGGAAAAACAGTAAGATTTCTAAATTGTCAGCTAACCCTCTCAAGAGAAAAGAAAGGAGGAAGCACAAATAAGAAATGCTAAGGGGTACTTGAGAGGCTGAGGTGGGAGAATCACTTGAGCTCAGGAGTTCAAGATCAGTCTGAGCAACATAGCGAGATGCTGTCTCTAAAAAAATAATAAAAAAAAAAATTAGCCAGGCATGGTGGTGTGTGACTGTGGTTCCAACTACTTGGGAGGCAGAGGAAGAAGGATCACTTGAGCCCAGGAGTTCAAGGCTGCAGCGAGTTATGATCATGCTATTGCCTGGTTGACAGAGCAAGACCCTGCTCTTAAAAAATAAAAGAAAAAAAGAAATGCCAAAGGGATAATAACCATAGATAGAGGAAATTAAAAGAATCCTTAGGGATTATTTGGCTCAACTACATGTAAGAAAATTTAAAAACTTACATAGCTAAGAATTAACCTTACCCAAAGAGGTTTGGCTTTTGTCCTGGCTCCTGGAAGGTAAGCTCTGGACCCTTGGAAGGTCCTGCCTGATAAGAGTGTCCTTGTCTACCTGGGAGCCTTAGGCCACCCTGGACAGTCAAATCCCATGTGATTTATGATGGGAGCTGGGGGCACACGGTATCTACTCTACCTCCTGTGGGTCCAGAGAGTAAAGGTCAGCCCCATGGACAGTCAATTATGTCTGTGTTCTTGAGCCCCAGTAAAAACTCTGGACACAAAGGCTTAGGTGAACTTCTTTGTTTGGCAGTACTCTGTGTGTATTGTCACACATTGCTGCCGGGGAAAGTAGCATTTTTCATGGCTTCTCAGGGAGAGGGCAACTGGAAGCATTGTGCTTGGAACTTTCCTGGACTCTGCCCTATGTGCCTCTTCTCTTGCCTGATTTTAATCTGCATCCTTTCTCTATAATAAACCATTAACCATAATGTAACAGCTTTTAGTGAGTTATGAGTGTCCTGGCAAATTATTATTATTATTATTATTATTTTGAGATGGAGTCTCGCTCTGTCGCCCAGGCTGGAGTGCAGTGGCACGATCTCGGCTCACTGGAAGCTCGCCTTCTGGGTTCACGCCATCCTCCTGCCTCAGCCTCCCCAGTAGCTGGGACTACAGGTGCCTGCCACCATGCCCGGCTAATTTTTTTGTATTTTTAGTAGAGACGGGGTTTCACCGTGTTAGCCAGGATGGTCTCAATCTCCTGGCCTCGTGATCTGCCCGCCTTGGCCTCCTGAAGTGCTGGGATTACAGCTGTAAGCACCGCGCCTGGTCCCTGGCAAATTATTGAAACTGAGGGTGGTCTTGGGAACTCCCCCAACTTTGTAAAGGCTGACATACTGGATACTTTTCTGGGAAAATATAATTTGCCAAAAACTGACTCAACATCATAGTCAATTGATATTTTGCCTTAGTTAACCTATAAATTAAAAGGAATCCCCAACAAAAAAAGAGAATTTTAGACCAATATCTCTGATGAACATCAATGCAAAAATCCTCAATAAAATACTGGCAAACTGAATCCAGCAGCACATCCATATGACCCAGCCATCCCATTACTGGGGATATACCCTAAGGATTACAAATCATGCTGTGAGTAAAGACACATGCACACATATGTTTATTGCAGCACTATTCACAATAGCAAAGACTTGGAACCAACCCAAATGTCCATCAATGAGAGACTGGATTAAGAAAATGTGGCACATATACACCATGGAATACTATGCAGCCATAAAAAAGGATGAGTTCGTTTCCTTTGTAGGGACATGGATGCAGCTGGAAACCATTTATTCTCAGCAAACCATCCGCAAGAACAGAAAACCAAACACCGCATGTTCTCACTCATATGTGGGAATTGAACAATGAGATCACTTGACACAGAAAGGGGAACATCACACACTGGGGTCTGTTGTGGGGTGAGGGAGTGGGAGGGGATAGCATTTAGGAGATATAGCTAATGTAAATGATGAGTTAATGGGTGCAGCACACCAACATGGCACATGTATACGTATGTAACAAACGCTGCACATTGTACACATGTACCCTAGAACATAAAGTATAAAAAAAAAAATCCATAATGGTTGAACTAGTTTACAATCCCACCAACAGTGTAAAAGTGTTCCTATTTCTCCACATCCTCTCCAGCACCTGTTGTTTCCTGACTTTTATAATGATCGCCATTCTAACTGGTGTGAGATGGTATCTCATTGTGGTTTTGATTTGCATTTCTCTGATGGCCAGTGATGATGAGCATTTTTTCATGTGTCTGTTGGCTGACTTGGAATCAACCCAAATGTCCATCAGTGACAGATTGGATTAAGAAAATGTGGCACATATACACCATGGAATACTATGCAGCCATAAAAAAGGATGAGTTTGTGTCCTTAGTAGGGACATGGATGCAGCTGGAAACCATCATTCTTAGCAAACTATCACAAGAACAGAAAACCAAACACCGCATGTTCTCACTCATAGGTGGGAACTGAACAATGAGATCACTTGGACTCAGGAAGGGGAACATCACACACCGGGGCCTATCATGGGGAGGAGGGAGGGGGAGGGATTGCATTGGGAGTTATACCTGATGTAAATGACGAGTTGATGGGTGCAGCACACCAACATGGCACAAGTATACATATGTAACAAACCTGCACGTTATGTTATGCACATGTACCCTAGAACTTAAAGTATAATAATAATAATAAATTA